TGGCGCAAAGAGGAAACAGAAAAGGCTTTTATTGTTTTGCAGAGAAAGTGTTGAACAATAGCACAAAAAAAAAAATGATTTTAACCAAAAAATCGGGAAAATAAACTTTACGTATATCTTGTAATTCTTTTATCGTACACTTTCAATATTATCAAGTATTTCAAGTTTTACATGGGTGAAAACATGTTCAAATAAAATAATAAAGTTCATAGAAGTTCTAGTTTCTTGTTGTTGCAAAAAATTTGTATAGGTACGCATCAAGTTCAATAGGATTGTGAGTATAAGGAGACACGCTCTGTTACTGTCATATTGCGTGACAGTGCGTTGACAATATATCCGCAAATATCAAAATAAATCCCTGCAATCAAGTGATTCTTATACAAGAAATTTAAGTCGCTATTGTACTTGAAATAATTGAGAACAAGAATTGAAAAGCTACGCTTGCGCACAAAGTTTATGGATATTTAATAATTATTCGAATATTTCGAAGGACATTTTTAATTTGATGATGGGCTTCGGTAAATAATTAAAACTCACTTAAAATGAATGATTAATGTCTCCTCCAAAATAATCTCTGTTGAACAATAAATAAAAGGAGTACGATAGCTTGTTAATTTGCGTAAAAACAAGGACTATAAGCAAATTTCGAAGTTTTGATGGTTGTGGAAGACTTTGCTCTAAAGATCCTCCCATTAAACTTAATTGCTTATCCTGTATGCATATACCTACGCATATGCAGAAAGGGAATCAAAAAGAGACAGATTCCTTAGCGAAGAGTTGAAACGTGTTGTTATAGTACAGTGACGTCGCAGGTTCGGTTAAAGGTGTCAAACGAGCAAATATTAGGCACAATTGCATTAGTAAGACATTAAATAAGCTACCGACATAAGGAAAAACATAAATGTATGCGTTAATAAGAAAGTAACGATTAATTAGGAAAAAGAATATATTGAGAAAAAATTCCTACTAAAGCGATCATGATCCAATTTTTAACTGTGTTATAGTACACTCTCAAATTATTTCAAAAAAAAAGATCGAATAAAAAATAAATCATTCATAATTAATGTCTCAGATCGATAAACGATTCTTATGTACCAAATTATTCTTATTGCATAAAATCTTATCGATCGCTTAGTTAGAGTTTCGTCCTTGCATTCGGTAATCAGTATAGGGGCAAGTACGTGCAAATTCTTTGGCATAATTGTCCTAGGAGTGCCCGTGAGTCAAATATAGAACCCCTCCAACATCTCACGAACTGTCTGGCTCAACTTTGGCACGTACGCTTAACTCATAGGTCCCCATTCCTCATAAAATGGCAACCTGTAAGGTTGCCATAAACTTTTTGCAGACATCGGCTTTACACAGTAGAGGACTGGCAGAACAAATAAATGTAAGGCGAATCTGCGGAGATACTCGCTATACCAATCATTACATTATAGTTTTCTCTTAATACCTTCTGCCTCTTATTCAATCATTCATTGTAGCGTAACCGGCTTTTATAATGGAAGCGCCATCAACGGACTATGTATTATGTACTAGAACTAATTTCCACTTTTTACTATCTGCACTATTGGACGCTACAATAACTGCATTATTAGGTCCTAATAGAGAATTAATATACTCTTTATTTTTTATCAAAATTATTATTGAGAAATTTACGAATTTAATTAAATTTTGTAATTCAAGTTAACACTAAACGTACCACGCTCGGTCAAATGACCGTTTTTAAACTTTCGTTTAAAATTTCTCGCATAAAACGTTATTGTATCATCATGTATCTTATTGACTTTTCCTAAAATATACATACAAACTATTTTTCAATATTTACAACTTTTTTTAATGTGTATTTTCCGAGAACGAGTTATACCATGTCTAGTCTACCATCAGCGGTCATCTGACCGCTTGAAAAATTTATGTTATTTACTACTATATTCTTCGATAATCGCTTTCTTGGAATTGCGGGAAACGAGTTTTTATTGTAGCATCAGAAAAATATTTTATTTGCTATCTACTTTACATATGTTCTTTTGACGCGGTCATTTGACCGCTTATGGTAGAAATAGGTATACATGAAATGTATGCAGCTTTAGTGTTAATATCATCATTATGGACATATATATATATATATATGATACTCTGTAGTTATCGTCTTTCTCTTAACTAGAACGTAAATTATATGCTTTTCAATAACATATTTTATGGTTTGTCCTGTGTGTTCGCCAAAATACTTTTGTGCACTCTGCAGAAAAAGCAAACCATATTTTATTGAAAAGATTAGTAATTATTTATATTTTTGTACTAGATATGTGCTAATTCAAGATCGTTCTGCGCATCTTTTATCTTTATAGCAAAAAATTTTTCACAGAAATCAATCCACAAAATTGTTCTTATTAGTAGTGTTATTATTATTGATTGAGCACTCGCGCAACCGCGACAAAAAACCTTCTATTGTACTCGCCCATGACCATAGCTCTAAAGCTTTAGGAATCTAACAAAGCCCGCCAACTGCTGTCATTCAGAGCAGTAAAGCGTGTCTGGCGTTATGAAGTTACCTCAAATACTTCGTATGTGATCCTGTAGACGGTCATGCCGCCGCATACGATATGATGGCATGTTTCGATCATCTCTTGGCAAAATCTCCATGAATCGGCATTCAAGCTTCTCAGGTGATACCCAAGAGAGCGCTATGAACTTCTTGCTTTAGAATATAAAAAAAAAAATGGGCAGAATTTTTGTTTTTAAAAGAATTACATAAAGTATTCGTATGAGCGAAAAGGGAAACTGTAATTATATTTTCTTCACTTTGTATTCTATCGATGCATTCGTGAATCATTTCTTTATTATTTATTTATTTTTTTTGTCTTTATGAAGTTGCGATAGAAGTTTAGTAATTATTTTCAAAACAGTTGAATTGTTACACTGCTGTTAACATCTAGGTTATAAAATTTTTATTTATGTCTATTTAGTACGTATTTAACTTTACTTTAATTAATAAATTAAAGAAAAGAGATTTCTATATAAATAAATCAAAGCAATACACTTCAACAGCAAGCATTAAGTATTTAAAACTAATTGCATACGATATCTAACTAGTTTCCGTTTAAAATTAAACACTAACGTTTGGTAACAGTAGAAGAGCAAGATCTGCCTTTTTAGGATTTAAGAATAAAAATAAAATTAAATGTATTATATTAATTGACGATAGTTATAATTTTATTTATTTATTTTTTTTTTTTGTATTCAAAGCCTTGGATGGAAGATTAGCTACCAAGTCAATAAAAAGAATTTTAATGGTCACAATTTAACCTGCATAGGAAACCACTTTCTAAAGAAATAATTTACAACTCGATTAGCCTAGAAAAGGAGGAAAACTAAGTAATTAATTTTTGCTTACAGAAATTCGTCCTCCCCTTTACATTTTAATGTGAATGACTTTTCCACTCTTATTCACTGTTTACAGCCATAACCGAAGAATGGCGATTGTATTCGCTTTCTGAAAACAAAGCTTCAGCTGCGGTCAGTTTACGATGCTCCATGCCGAGGAAAGCTTATGTACTCGATATTAAGCAAGGTTTATGCTCTCTTGGATCTCATAATTTCTCGTGAAAATTTCCTTAATGATGGGAATCATCAAACCTTTTCAACGAACTGAACGTTACGATTGAACTAACTCGAGAAGTTCATACCTTGACTCAATCCCAGTAGACATGTCCGTCCATCTATGTTGTTATACTATCTCGTGCTGGTCGTAGCAATGAAAATATCGTACATGTTCTTACAAGCAGTTTACCACTGAAAAAGATCAAATTGAGCAGAGGCCATGCCCACACTGCAACATAAACAAAAAACACCTCTTCTTACAAAAGCAAAAAAATTTCAAATTTTTTTCCTCACACGTAGAGACATGAGCAGGTACGGCGAAGAACATTTCCAAGTACGTACATCGATCTTTCTCTGGGTCCAGTAAATTCCCGACTTATAAACCTTTCGAAAACTGGTCAGCAATATCCGATATTGTTGTTCATTCTTTTACTTGTTGGTTTTTTGGTTAAAAGTGCCCTTTTATTGTGACAAGCGAGGGACACTAAATGCCGTCATTGTATGCTAAAATCAGGTACAGCAACTCAAACGTTTATTTGTTTGTGCTTCAGTTTGCAAACATTTTAGGAAATTCCGTATTCTGGAAACCTATTTTAGAAACATTGTAGTTTTCATGCAGATTTTTTTGATGAAATCTGGCGTTTTCACAATAATATTTAATAGCCAGTTAATGCCAGTCATTTCGTAAAATAATAGCTTTGCCAGGAAAAGACGAAATATGTAGTCGTAAACTTTTATGAATTGAAAATTAATACAAAACAGGTGGCACTATTAAATACCCTACAACACTTCGTTTAATACAACAATTGTTATAACAACTTTTCATAACAAGGCTTTGTATGAGAAGTAGTCGAAAAAGTGGTCCGATTCGAATAATTTTCAATAACAATGTCGTTTGGGCGAAAATATGTTGGTGCACCAAGTTTCAGCAAAAGGCAGTAGAACGTGCGAATTGAACATAAAAAAAAAACAAGGCAGACAGAGGGACAGACAAGCTCACATCGATTCAGGAAGTGTCTTCTTGCTTGTATTTTGATTAGTAGTGCTCGGGCACACGCTTCAAGCGTTATCAAGGATACCCTATTGAAGTTTAAACGCGAATTTTTGTCGCATCCATGGTACTCACCAGACATAGCGCTTTCTGATTACCGCTTGTTCAGAACTATGCAGCATGAATTGGCTGGCACGCGGTTTAGGAAGGAAGTCCGAACACTGGTCCATAACTGGACCGCTGCCAAACCAATTTCGTTCTTTTGACACGAAATCGCCATTTTGCCAGAAAACTTTGAGAAAGTTATAGAAAATAATGGAAAATAATTTGATTAATATATAAAAGTGAATAAATGATCAAAATACATGCAATATCCTAACAATCTTATTTTATTTTCTTATATTTTTAGCCAAAATCATATAAAGCTTCCCCTATGAGCTGCTTCAACAAAATGTTACAAAAATTTTATTAAACATTACCCGTCAATGGGTGCTGGGTCGTCTCTACAAATGCTAACCATTTCACAAAAAAGACTCTAGTCAGTCTTGTATTTTAAGAACTGTTTTGATATAAACGGAAAAGTTGATCAATAATCATTCAACACTTACATCGTAATTGTCATCATTATTATCATTATCATCATAATGCCATATTTTCCGAATGTTCATAAAAGCAGTAATAAAATGAGCAGCAACACGTCGTTGGATAATGCCTCAGATCAGGATTATAGTGAATTTTTGAGTGAATATCTCTTACAAACGCATTCACCTAATAATGAGCCGGAAATTCAATACGAGGGTAAATATTATGAGCAAAGTATACAAGTATAATTAATTAATTAATTATAATTAATGTTTTGCTTTTTCTTTATTTTTTTCGCATATTTTTGATAAACTTAATGCAAACTTGAAAACATAGAAGGCGAGTTAGAGGCTGAATGGCTAATTGCGGCTGGTTTTCCGCAGCTAACAAAACCATTTGAACAGGTATGTGAGTAAAGAGTATGTTAAAACGCGTAAATATTGGAAGATCAAAAAGTATCGGGAATTTTTCAAATGTTTTTTTTTGAGAAAAGTATGTAATCTGCAGTATTTCACGCTATATTTTGATATTAAACATTGCTGCGCATATGCAGTTCCCTTTTCAAGAAATACTATTAGAAACCGGTCTGAGCTCGATTGAAAGGAGAACTGCCGTTCAACATATATTTTTATACTCTACACCATTTATGGTGTAGGGCATATTAAGTTTACGCCAAAGTATGTAACGTGCACCCTTATTATTTGTTTGTCCGTCTGTCCGGCTGGTGTCTGCCCATGCAAATTTGTGGTCAAGCAATGTGTTTGATGAAATTTGGTGCATTGACGTGCTTTGATCCAAAGACCAACACCATTGAAAATGGTTTGGATCAGGCTACTTTTTCGTCCACTCTCCATGCAACGCCTTATTTCGGAAGATCGTTTTATGAAAAAAAATGCAATATTCAAAATTTCTCGACAAAAGCGGCTAAGTAATAGTATTTCGGCAATCTAAAATGGTGTAAGAAGTTGGGCCAGCTGCGGCTATTTTTTGAACCAATCCCATACAAACATTGGGTCTTTATATAGTAAAAATTTGTATTGTCTTTCATAACAGCAAATTGACGTAGAAAGCGAGTTTGGACCACGTGGATCTATTTTTTCTACACCACCGCATGTAAGGATTCCTTCAATATGCAAACTTTCATAAAAAATATGTACAAACCCTAGAAGTTATATGTATATTAAGCGAAGCAGTGTAGTGTATCTAATAGTCGGCTTTACCCGACTACACTGTTCTTACCTCATTCTGCTCTCATTACTTGAACGCGTCCGTTTCAATTTATGAAATATTAAAAAGAGAAATCCATTTCTGCAGGATTATGCTAAGAATTGTCGGGAAAACCAACAATATCAGAAAAGAGGCCCATATTTTTCGATTTCCGTATTGAAAGCAATAAAAATATTGTTTAGTATTGCTGGCATAAAATCCTTCTTTCTTCGGCGTCCTCTGTTATAATATTCCTCTCTCTTCATTGCTTACTACATCGTTGGTGGTTTAAGGTATATTGCGCTGGCAAAGAAATTTCCAACCTCTAGAATTAGTTGAGAATGATCAACCTTCTACTACACTAACTAAACACTTTAGAAAATAATTCTCATTTGAGTCTGCCTGCTCGACTGATGTTGGTGATGTCAGTGTACTTATGTTTTCAACCTGCAGGCCGAGATATTATGATGAAATTTGACACGTTGATATGTTTTGCCCCGAAAACAAGCCTAGCCCATGCATTACCAATTTAATTAAGTGACCTTTATAACCTCTCTCCTCTATAAAGCAAAATTTTGAAAAAGTGATTGCAACGAACCGTAGGGTAGTTAACGGTCAACTCTGTCCGATTGCAATATTCTAAGTTTTTTCTATTTTTTTTTCCTAAGCAACGGATTCATTAATAATTAATGTATTGGAGTATCTTGTCTTCTGTTGCTTTCTTCTTTTCAACGTAACTTCATAGTTAAAGGATGTTTTCAATCTTAACAAATATTTCCTTGCATTTCATTCCTTTACAAAAAAACTCAGCCAGAATTCTAGCAAAAATAGTTGAATGCGGCAGAAAGGCCATAAGTCAATGGTCAATAAGTCAACTTAATCTTCCTCGGCTTTTGTTATCATCTTGTAGCATAATACTCACTGAGGTCGTAGGATGACATATAGATGTAAGACAACTATCGATGCTTACATACGATCTTTAGATGATACCAATCTTCAATTTTTTTCTGCTGCTCCCCAAAAGTAACGGCAGTGGCATTATTTAAAAATCATATGGAGACGTCATGCGTAGCGATGTCTATACATTATCCTAGAAACTTATTGAATAACTCGTTATTAAGAGGTTAAAAAGACTGAAATTCTTGGTATCATTGACATAAATATTTAAGTTCACCGAACGGTTGCAATAAATTTATTTATTCGAAATTTTAGTTTATTTTAAACAAATATTTTTTTCGTAATCATTTACTGCAACAACATCAAACCCGATAAGTTTAGAAGAGTTCTCGCATTACATAAAAGTATCATTTGATACGAATACACATATATATAAATAATTGAAAAAGTGTCAGTTTAAGACGAATTTTAATTAGTCGCAGTCATTAACCGTTAAAAAGTTTAGGACAAAACAGCAGAGGGCTTTTGTCTTTATGAGTAAAGGACATGGGAAGGGCTAACCGTCACGGTAACTCGTTCTAATTTTTTTATGCGATCACGTAACCTACATTCATTATAAAAAATAACTTATTTTTATTCGTTTTTCTTTTTAATTTTTATAAGAGCATTATACACTGCACGACATGTGGTACAAGACTGTGCTAAGTTAGCGCGAATGTAATCAACCTCCAGAAGGACTTGAAATAGATCCAACTTTTATTGTGCCCGCCCATTCAGAATCACTTCGTGAATCGATCTGTCTGTCCATCTGTCTTATTTTTATCTCCAATCCACCCGCCCTAATTTTCGAAATATTTTAATGGAATTTGGTGCACAGATATGTTTTGGCTCAAGGACCAACATTGTTAAAAATGGCTCGGATCGGCCTACTTTTTAAACCACTTTCCGTGTAACACCTTATGTTGAATAACTGCATTAAGAAAAATGCTGTGGTAGACCATGCCCCGCTGAAGTGTCTTTACTTGTTTTATGTAATTAAAAGAATAAAGAAAAACAAATTGGATCGAAACCTTTCTTTTAAAAAAAATGCCGCAACTAAAACTATTGAAAAATTCCTGCATTCAGTTGTTGCAAGTTGTTGTAGTATTCACTTCTCTCGTATTCGTATATACAGTAAACATTGAACTTTTGCTTAAAACACTGCCAACATATTTTAAATGGATTTAGTTCATCATACAGACGGTTGACATAAAGACTTATAATGATTTTATTTTTCTTACTTTTGCTATTTTTGTTGTAAAAATGTTTTTAAAATTTGCGGACATATTAATAAAATTATTATTTAATTGGTGTCCGGTAAATGTGAAAAAATTCTTACGATTGTCAAAATATTAATTAAAAGAAATTTTTTTTCGTTTTCTTTTCTTTTTTTTTTTTTTGTTATTTTCTTCGAAGGGTCTTGAGTTGCGTTCTTCGGAATTGGAACCAATATTAGCGTCACTCTCCAAACCTCATGCCGAAGCTATCAAGCAACGTGTACGCACTCTCAATCAAACGGTACGTGGACGCAGCAAAAATCGTCAAAAGCGCAAGCCAGACATACGGGATGTCTTTCGAGATTTTGATGTAAGGATTTGCTACATACATTCAAACGAAAAAAATGAAAAATTGAAAAATTGCTTTCTTTCTTACAGGAATCAAGTACTGGTACACGTTCACGGAGTGCTACGCCGGACTCTTTGGATTCCATACAAGGCGACGAGGTTTGGGGTAATGCTTCCATGTAAGTTGTGATCTGTAATCTGGAAATATTAAAAACAAAAAGAGAGGAAAAATTCCAAAATATATTTGATGATGTCGTTTAATGAAAACATAAAAAGGATTTTAATTAAAAAAAGAAACGGAGCAATATTGTGGGAATGTTTAAATTCTTGATTTGTGTAATATTCTGGCTTGATTTAACTTCATTGCTTCATTGCTCATTGAAGGACACCAAAGGTCGCATAGAATGCGAAAATGGTCTGCATCTACTTATGTACTAAAACTTCATATTTTATCTAAGGCTTAACTTTTTGAGAAATTCTGAGACAAATTCCACCTTTAGAAATAATGAGGCATAGTTTCAAAACCAAAACCACGGTGCGATTTATAACATTTAGAAAATAGAAAAAAAGGGTAAGAAGCCCACCTTTAAATGCCCTAAACCACTTCACCTAATACAGTTAATCAACGCAACCAATTTTTAGAGCGAATCGTTATATGGGAGATATGATGAGATGGATATGAGATATTTTCAGTAGCACTCGCCCTTGGTGCAAAATAGGGCAGTCTGTTAAATTTCATCAGAATATATCAAGTATTGCGACCTGTAGCTTGTACATGGACAGACAAACTTTAATCGACTCGGAAATTGATTGTGGTGGGTGTGTGTCAAGTCGTTCTTCATGTTAGATACATTCTTCTACCAAAAGTGCTGTAGTTTTTAAAAGTCAAGATAGGTAAAAATCACTCGTTCAAAAGCTGAAAGTGGAAACTAAAAAAAAATCGGAGACTTTTGCCTTTTTTTGCTTTGCTTGTCAAGTTCTTTCCTTTGAGACGGAAGGTGGGCAGTCTTCAGTTTACGTTCTTATAGAAGAAACGTGAATCTTTTGTTTTAGATTTTAATTCAAGGTGACATTAGTACATTTATTATTGCCAGCGTGTCCGACGAACTGATGGCTGAAACGATCTTTACTCTTTCAACTTAATCGCTCGTACTTGGCAATGGAAAACTTGATTTTTTGGTTGAAATGCCATGGGGTTTAAATCTATTCTTCCTAATCTTTGTTGTAAAGCGCTTTCTGTTTCTTCATATATATATGTCATAAAATACTAAAAACTAGCCCCTGTTCGAAGACATGCCGTTCAAGAAATATACTAATGCAATACAAGTTAAATTATTATTTTAAGCCAACAGTCCTTATTGTTATGTAGAGGCTTTATTTTTCAAACGAAGGCTTATATCAGAGATGGCCGAGATCTTGACTTCACATTGTCTAAACTTATTAATATTAATGGTCTTATCCGAAAATTTACTATTCTTTCCTCGGTATTTTCATCGCAAATCTTGTTGCTATGTAACATCTTATTGTTCGTCAGTAGAAATATATATGAGGTTAGGTTCAAAAAATTCCCTCCAAATTTTTCACATTCATTTAGCGTGCCAGAATGGTCTTTTTCACTGACCTTCTCATCGGGAGCGACTACGAATCCAAAGTTTACTGGGAGAATGGCTGCAAATACGATTTGATTCCATCTATTTTCAACAGATCATCCTTCAGCTATATTGTATCGGTTAGAAACTAATTTTCGGAAAATGTTTTTATTTTTCCTAAGTGCAATTCTATGGAATTATGTGCAAAAAATTCCATCTAAATTTGTGATATGCACTCTGTCAAAATACTCTTGATAAGCCTACATGACAAGGTATATTAAGATCGTGCAAACGGTTACAACAACTCATTTTATGACGGCTAAGCCTACTGTGTGGTTTGCTATGTCTTCAGTGACTGGAAAAGAGTAAACGCATATTAAGTTTACTAAATGTCGACCACGTTGTCGTTATAAAAGCCTTGGGAAACATTTTGCATTGACAAGAAAAAAAAATGTGTAAGTTTTAGTGTTACAGTGTCTAATGATTGGCCTTGTCCAGCTCTACAGTGTTCTTACCTGCTTTTCGCTTACTTTTTTTTGGGGAGCCATTAAATGGTTGCTAACGATTTTAATAAATCATCTTTGGATCAAGTCAGTCAGTTAGGACTAAATTTCCGGACAATGTTTCGAAAATCGCGCGAATTCGTTGAATTCACATATGCTAGGATGACTTTGTATTATTCTCGAAAAATATTCATGTATTCATCAATACCTATTTTGCCCCTTTCAAGGTAATTCGCCTTAGATGCAATAACCTTCGGCCAGCACATGTTCTAATCCTTGAAGCATTTCTGTTATTTGCTTTTTGGTGTGGCCGGGAGGACTTTCAGCAATGCGATCTTTATCTCCTTGTTCGTCGCAAAAGTCCGTCCTTCGATGGGTCTTTTCAGTTTTGGGTACAGGAGAAAGTCCGCTGTATATCATTGACAATCTGGGGCAGCCAGGACGGTCATCGTTATTAACATCTTCTCAGCATTTTTTTTTCCCAAAGTAAACTTGTCGTATGCCGCACTTAACATTGGAAGCACTATACCGTACCATAAAATAAGCGGTGTAGTGGGTAACGATATAAATGCCAAAGTGCCTGGTCATAGAAAACTGTCGAATTTCGCTAAGCATGGAATTTCCACATTTTGGAAAAACAAGTAATGCGAGCAAATAATGCTTTTTAATATTTTACCTGCGAGTGTTCGCAAAATCTTGTAGCACTTTGCGAAGAGGGATATTTCACAAATTTTTTGATAACAAATTGCATGAGGTAGGGATTAAGAAAAATTTTTAGATATCAAGAATAAGATTGAAAATTACATTACTTTCGGGATTAACCCCTAATATCTAAAGCATTGTGATATTCTTTGCCTGTGTAAAGACTTTATAAGGGGAAAATTCGAGCAGGACAACTTAGTTTAATCGTGAACTTAGTGAAGCCTAGTGCTGTGTAATAATAAATTTTCGAGTTTCTGAAATACAAGTGCGTGTATATAAAACCTCCACGATTCCAGAATCAAAATTCATTACAAAAAAAATTTGGATCATGCTCTTTAGATCGATTTTAAAGATTTTCGAAAATTTTGGCAATGACAAGAAAGAAAGGTATACGCGATTAAAATTTAATGAGTGATAACTCGGTGTTTTTTTTCTGTGAAAATTTTAAAAACAAATAGCTCAACGTAGGCCATTACTTCTCTGCATAAAAAGATTGTCGTATATATTATAGAAATTGAAAAAAAAAAGTTATTGTTTTCAAGTTTTTTGTGATATAAAATAAATTTTTCCTTATGCATAATATTTTCTTCTCTCTTTCGTGCTTCTCTAGACCATGTTTCGTAACTAGTTATGATAATAGCAATGTGGACAATGGGATTGCGAATGGCGGTAGGAGCAGTCATTCGCCATTGTTTTCGGGCAAAAATCTGAAACAAAAATTGCGACGAACACCAAGCGCCCCATTGAAGAGCGCTACAGATATATTTCGTGGAACGCATGTACGCTGTGATATACCAATGTACTCGGCTGATGGTATAGAATTGCTGGGTTTTTCACGTATTGGAACCATACATATATCAAGAAATCGTTCAGGTTCAGATCCTTCATGTTCGGTGGGGTAAGTATTTAAACGGCATTTCTCATTTTTAATATCGTTCTAATACGTTCTCGTACTTCTATAGTCGTAGTCGGGGCCAAATGATGAATCAAGACTCGCAAAGTGATAATAACACGTCATCGGGGGATTCGAGTGATGAGTGTTTGCTTAGCATAAAACATTTAACTGACATACCAACAAAGGAAAGTGCTCCGCAAAAGATTTTAAATAAAATAAATCTCTATACACCGCCTCAAAGTGCTCAGAATTCACCATCGTCTCGGGATGGCGTCAGTTTTGAGAACATGTGCCGTAAGAGTTCTAGTCAAGATGTTGTGGTATGTACGAAAAAACCAGAAATGATATCAAGCTTGAAAGAAAAAATGTATGAAATGTTATTTCGCCTTTTTCAGGACACTGTCGATAGCAGTGATGTGTCGCTAGAATTTTACTCTGACATTGATACCATTAATGAAGCGGAATTGAAGCGTTTACAGCCGCTATTTTGGCTGGAAGTGGCTTCAATTTTCGATCGTAATAACGTGCAATTTGATAAAAGAAAACCCGTGAAGAGGCGTCGCAAAGAAGAAGGCAATCTTTTTGGTGTCTCGATAAATGCTTTAATACGTCGGGACCAACAGGTCACTGGCAAGGATTCGACTTTGGTGCCTTTGTTTTTGGAGGGTCTGTTAGCGGAGCTGACCAAACGTGGCGCCCGCGAAGAAGGAATTTTACGCGTCGGTGGCCACAAACAAAAGGTAAGAGCAACATGCGTCGAAAAGTTTTATCATTATTTTGCTTTTGTTCACTTTTTGTTTTGCGTTTTCCTTTCATTTTCTCTTATTTTAGACTGAAATACTTTATCAAGAACTTGAATCGCATTTCTATCAGAAACACAAAAAATATGAACAACTCTTAAGCACGGCCAGCGTGCATGAGTTGAGCGCTTTGCTTAAGCGTTGGCTACGGGAATTGCCTCAACCTTTGCTAAGCAATGAACTCATACAATTATTTTATCAGTGTCACGCACTCCCGCCTAACGATCAAGCCAAAGCTTTGGCCATTATATGCCAATTGTTGCCGCATGAGAATCGTAATACGTTGAGATCATTGTTGCGTTTCCTTAATTATGTTGTCGAACAAAAGGAGGCAAATAAAATGAATTTGCATAATGTAGCGACAATGATAGCGCCGTCCTTCTTTCCGCCACGTTTCGTTCATCCAATTAATAAGAACAGCATTGAAGAGCAAGTAAAAATGGCCGCTCAATGCTGTTGTTTAACTAGCATTCTAATTATCAAAGGCGAGGCTTTATTTCAGGTGCCAAATAATCTTATTGAAGAATCCCGCTCAAGCAAAAGGGTAAGTAAAATTGAAAAGAAACATAAATTGCAACAGAAATAAGTGAGACTTTTTTTACTTAGGGCAAACGTGGTTTACATCGCCGGAATAAAAACTCTTCTTCTTCGCTTCTACCGACAACTCTTAATAATAACAATAACACCTCAAATATTAACAACAACAATAATAATAATAATAACAACAACAACACCAATACCATAACAATAGGTATAGATGGTGGAATGAAAAATCGTACGTCTCCATCTCTAGTATCACAACCGCCTAGATCGCCTAATGTTAATCCCGGTCATGTTCACCGCTTAATCATTTGATGGCGAACATGGCAGATGAAACTACAGGAAAGAGTGGTAGAAGACCAAAGTCACCATCAATCAATCTATATTTAAAGCGTGTGTGATGGTCTTTTTTAGAAATGGTGTCTAATTGTGTTACATATTTTTCACATATATATGATAGTTAAAGAGAAAAAAAAAAGCAAGAAACAAAAGTTAAAAAGAGAAATAGTTTATAGAACATACTGCACAGAGGAAAAGAAAATAACATTTTTTTTTTTTTTTTTTTGTATAATTAATATATTATTTTTAATTTTAATTTAAGTTGTTCACAAGCACAAATATCATACGAAAATGTGCATTCATTTCTTCACATAATACCGAGTTATTGGGGATGACCGCCCCTTGTCGCTCTTTAATTCTAACAAAGCACCGTTTATTGTACGGAAAGGTAAATGAAAAGCGATAGTGAACGCACGTAAATTTAAGTAAAACTTTTTCGGTACATAACCTCAAAATTATTAAAGAACGCGTGAACTCGATAGAAATTGTATTATTAAAGAAGAAGAAGAAATGAAAGACGTATTTTCAGAAATATGCATACCGGACTTCTGTTTGTAGAGAGCTTTTTAATTATAATCCCATTTTGCTGCTTGTGCTATATACGAAAACATGGCCAAGATAAGAATTTCTTTTATATATATGTATATATATAATATATTTTCTGAATTCCAAATATGTTCTAAATTTAATAGGTGTAAGCATTTGCTTTTTAATGATATTGTTAGAAAATTTTATCAATTTATTCTTCTATTCTCTCTACATCGATCTATGCATATAAATATTTTATAACATCAAAGGAAGGTCAACAAGCAAAGGATTTTAATTTACTTTTAAATAATCGTTTAAAACCAAAATTTGTTTTTAGATATACACACATATATATATATATACGCATAAACATTGACTTAATATATATATATATGTATATTTATGTATGTATGTCTCAACATCTACTAAAATGCTTTAATTTTACATATGTATACAATTAGTTTATATATATATACATATCCATATATATATCTATATATATATATATATATATATATACATGTACAGTATGTAACTAAACTGGATATATATATAGATTGGGTATTTGCAAATTAATAAAGTATAATCTAATAAAGAATAAAAAAATGTAAATGAATTGTGGAAGGAAAAGCAAGCATCAAGAACAAGCACTGTAATCACGTAATTACGGCATTCCATCACTATATCACTTTCCTCATCATGAGTACGGCCAAAATAATGATCAGAAAAATGTGACCAAAAAAAGCGCAAGAGATACGAAAATGTTGACCGAAGCCCGCAGAGGTTCTTGTTCAATCGGTAAGTATTGTGTCCTTATCGACTGAGCACTCACCACACTTAAGCTAAACTTTGCCGCACATGAGATTTGAACCCGCCAACACTGAAGTCGCAATCGAGCCGCTTAACCATTCCGTGACTCATACGACTTTGAAAAACGCTTATGTAAGGGAGACAACCAATATAGTCTGTCTTTTTTTTTATTTAATTTTTAAAGCCTTGTCGCCACAGAAAAGATTATTTTCATGGAACTCTTAATTAGATGGTAAGGATGTTCAAAAAGTAGGCCCCAGTGTATGCTCCAAACATTAACATCACATTAACTCCTCATATGTTGAATCACGTTATTGTGGAATAATTTGCAAAGGTTTATTTTTCATTTTTATGTAAATGATTGCAATGGATGCGGGCCCCTTTCAAAATTCATCCTAACATAAAATTTTTCAGCGAGTAAAAGCTGATCCCGGAAGAAATCGGTATTTCAATATACTTTTGTTAATTATCGTCCAAAACTGTCGAAATGGTGTAAACTTGTCACGTTCCAGGCGCGCGGGCCGACCATGTGTGTCGGTTCCCTTGTCAGCGGTAGATAGGTTGAATTATGAAACAAAGTACTTGGGTTAAACAGAGGCATAAGACTATACAAAACTGCCCAAAAGAAGTCTCCAATACGGGCTTATCACGTTACTGTTCAGATGGGTGTTGCCACCGAAAACCATTTTAGTGATTCACGCAAAACCGTTCGAGCTAACTATACGCATGTTCGGGCAAATCGCATCTGACACTAGTTTACCGAATTTATTGCTTATAAGATTTATCTTATAGGCCAAAAAATACGAATCCGAATCACGAGTAGATTTCTGTGAGCCAAAGACGTGACTACCGAAACAGCCTTCATTGGAAATCGGATAAGAAAAGCGAAATATGAAACCGAACAATAAAGGTCTCTGTAACAAATAAATGTTCTTGTGTTTTCCTGGGCCGCTGAGCTACTCCAGCCATAGATTATGGCACGAAAAGGCCTCACAAATTAATGCGTAATGATAAACAAACTACCTAATCTGGTTATTGGTAGAAATTCCATAAGGAAGAAGTCATAAAGCGAAAACAATTTATTTCCAAACCTTCTTCTATCTGCTAATATAAGCAAATAAACGGATGTTGTGGCAAAGAAATCAAGCGAAGAAGGAAAAATCCAAAGGAGTTTAAAAAGTGACCTAAAGATGACCTATCAAGTGATAATAATAAGTGTTCAGACAGGGTATCAGCTCTCAAAAAAGAACGTATTAACAAGGTAATGCCGAATATCGGGAACAAATTTGAAAATAAATAAAAGGAAAGATTTTCTTAATCACGTAAGTGTTTACAATAAAATAATTGTCGTATCATTCATCGAATAGATATTGCGTGGGTCTACTAAAATAAACTCTGCTCGCGAAGTTCCTGTGGCGGAGGTTAGGTGCGAGTAAATATGCTCCGTAGTAATTGGCAAGGAAAGCAGCCGACTTTATCAAGCGGTGTCATTAAAATCAAACATCGATTCCTTTCGTTCAAGATACCAAAGTCTGGAGAGGATTTGGACAAATTTTTAAAAGTGAATTTTTATTATGTATTTGTATACACATAACCCCATCCTATTGTGATTCAACAAAAATATTACGATGTAAAAAAAAATGTTTCCTATTTTGGGACTACCTACTACCTCTTACCTACCTAAGCAATGTTCTAATGTATCTAAAACTTATACAACTGTTACTCATATCTCTTAATTACCTTTTTACGGTGTTTACAAGATTTTCGCTTGCAGCTAATTCTTCACATGAACTTGCCTGAAAGAACAAGAAAATGGGAGAGTCCTTCCCACTTTTAGAAAAAATTTGAAGCAGGCCCAACCGTTATTATACCGATCGATTCAGAGTCATTTTCTGAATTGATCTAAGCTTGTCTGTCCATCCGGCTATTCATCTCATGTTCTTCTGTTGACTTAGTACACTGATATTTTTTCACCCAAGGACGAACGGTATTAAAAATAGTTCGGATCGGATCGGATTTTTTCAAATACTTCCAGTATGAAGATGTATTTTGAAAAATCGTTATGTGAATAAATGTATTAAGTGAAGCGGTGTTGGGTACTTAATGGTGGGCTGTACCCCGACTTGTTTCGTAGATAAGTTATAAAGTTCTGAGTATATACACTTTGGATATTTGCTTGGATTATTGTTTTCCTTGTTGGTCTTGCAACGATGAGAAAACTTCCTTTGATTTGATAGCAATCGTCTCGTATGCATTCGCAAAATGGTGGCATCGTAAAAATCTCTCGTTATCGGAAGCGTTGGGTCGAGCCCTGATCTGTGAGAGTGTGAATATTAACGGAATGTTCAGCAGGCGAAGTCGAGTCACCGTGTACGAGTTGAGTCGTATTTTCCTAATTATGAAAAAGTTATTGAGTTTTTAATATAAAATACGAATACAAAATACATCGAAATATCATATATAGCTGTTTGCTTCGGGGAGAAAATAAAAAAAAAAATTAACCAATGCAAGCGTATTATTATTCTTGTCCCCTTGCCTGTTAATGCGGTGACAAGGGAAACCGAGAATACCTGAAATTGTTGCTAAGCTAATCGAAATGTCTCGTTTACATGGAGAAAAAGTACAGCTATTGAGAATTTTACTATGCAAATGAATAAAGATGAAGAACAACAAAGTTATTCATCTCTTCATAGTTTTCCGTCCAAACGCAAATGGGAGGTGCCGTCCCATTTGGTTGAGCTCATTGTTAACATCATTCTTGGGCTTATCTGCTGCTCGAGCTACATGTTTGCTAGCGGCTCATATGCTTTATTACCTTTACTTTATTGTTTTGTTTGCTATTTCGGAGATGTTTGGGAATATTTAACATTTAACATGAGATGAGAATATCGATTTAGAAGAAACTGAAATCCTTTTATGGCGGTTTAATCCATCTACATAAAAATATTTTTAATAAAAGTTTTTAAATAAATTTTTCGAAAATTTTTTTTCAGGGAATGCATCATGGTTTGTTATGCCACACTTTCGGTTTTGTTGGTTTTCAGATACATGGTTTCACTTTTTATTTTTCCTTCAATCTAATCAAGGCTTGGAAGGCGCGTATGGCAGCCCGGAAATATCAATAAATCAAGTTAAATTATGTTGACAATTTAATCTGATAAGTTACAAAGCGCGATATAGATTTATGTTTAAAAGGCTATTGAAAAAGAAATAGTAACAAAATGGCAGCTCTGTTAAATGGTTAAATGCCCAACTAACAACTTAAATGGTAATGCCATTCAGCTATGTTAAATGCACAACTTAATAGAAAACAAAGGCCCAACTCTGTTAAATACACTGATGGCGTTGTTAGTGAAGACATAACAACAACTTTCTGATGGTGGAGAGAAATGCTCAGTTTACTATAAAACATATTATAGCATCTGCATGCATGTAACGCGGAGCATTTCTTTCTAATATTTTTCAGCTCATTTTCAATTTCCGTTGAATAATTTCTTTTAATTTAATAGATTTACTTCTTCAGTTACTTTTTCTTTTTTTTAATATTTGCTAACAAAAACACGAAAAAGTACCTTTGTTGAAATGGCTTGAGGAATGTTATGGCAAGTCTTTGCTGTTTTCGAGGTCGTCCAGATGTTGATCATGCTAAAAGCAGTGGACGTCCAAAAAAGGATCAAAACATCAAAATTTCGCAAAAAATATGTTCGATAATCGAAAAGTGAAGATACAAAAGAAATCCGATATTCCACAAGTATGAAAATTCAGCCCTTTACCGAGTAGGTAAAGTTTTTGTTCGCACAAATGGAACAAATGTACGGTATTGCTAGTTGAATGTCGAAATTGCGCGAGCT